CTGCAAGAAGCCCTATCACGAGCCTTTTCCATCCTATGGAGAGGGAGCATGGACACGGGGGTCGTCCCACAGTTACTAAAAACAACAGACATAGCCCCACTCCACAAAGGGGGCAGTAAAGCAACAGCAAAGAACTACAGACCAATAGCACTAACATCCCATATCATAAAAATCTTTGAAAGGGTCCTAAGAAGCAAGATCACCACGCATCTAGAAACCATCAGTTACACAACCAGGGCAACATGGGTTTAGAACAGGTCGCTCCTGTCTGTCTCAACTATTGGACCACTACGACAAGGTCCTAAATGCACTAGAAGACAAAAAGAATGCAGATGTAATATATACAGACTTTGCAAAAGCCTTCGACAAGTGTGACCATGGCGTAATAGCGCACAAAATGCGTGCTAAAGGAATAACAGGAAAAGTCGGTCGATGGATCTATAATTTCCTCACTAACAGAACACAGAGAGTAGTCGTCAACAGAGTAAAGTCCGAGGCAGCTACGGTGAAAAGCTCTGTTCCACAAGGGACAGTACTCGCTCCCATCTTGTTCCTCATCCTTATATCCGACATAGACAAGGATGTCAGCCACAGCACCGTGTCTTCCTTTGCAGATGACACCCGAATCTGCATGACAGTGTCTTCCATTGCAGACACTGCAAAGCTCCAGGCAGACATCAACCAAATCTTTCAGTGGGCTGCAGAAAACAATATGAAGTTCAACGATGAGAAATTTCAATTACTCAGATATGGTAAACATGAGGAAATTAAATCTTCATCAGAGTACAAAACAAATTCTGGCCACAAAATAGAGCGAAACACCAACGTCAAAGACCTGGGAGTGATCATGTCGGAGGATCTCACCTTCAAGGACCATAACATTGTATCAATCGCATCTGCTAGAAAAATGACAGGATGGATAATGAGAACCTTCAAAACTAGGGAGGCCAAGCCCATGATGACACTCTTCAGGTCACTTGTTCTATCTAGGCTGGAATATTGCTGCACACTAACAGCACCTTTCAAGGCAGGTGAAATTGCCGACCTAGAAAATGTACAGAGAACTTTCACGGCGCGCATAACGGAGATAAAACACCTCAATTATTGGGAGGCGCTTGAGGTTCCTAAACCTGTATTCCCTGGAACGCAGGAGGGAGAGATACATGATTATATACACCTGGAAAATCCTAGAGGGACTAGTACCGAACTTGCACACGAAAATCACCCACTACGAAAGCAAAAGACTTGGCAGACGATGCACCATCCCCCCAATGAAAAGCAGGGGTGTCACTAGCACGTTAAGAGACCATACAATAAGTGTCAGGGGCCCGAGACTGTTCAACTGCCTCCCAGCACACATAAGGGGGATTACCAACAGACCCCTGGCAGTCTTCAAGCTGGCACTGGACAAGCACCTAAAGTCAGTTCCGGATCAGCCGGGCTGTGGCTCGTATGTTGGTTTGCGTGCAGCCAGCAGCAACAGCCTGGTTGATCAGGCTCTGATCCACCAGGAGGCCTGGTCTCAGACCGGGCCGCGGGGGCGTTGACCCCCGGAACTCTCTCCAGGTAAACTCCAGGTAAACTTTGTTGACGATGTTTCGCCCACTCCAAGAACTTCTTCAAGGGCAATCTGTCTCCCTCCCTCTTTGTTGACGATGTTTCGCCCACTCAGAGAACTTCATCAAGGGCCATCTGCCCCCCCCCTCCTTATGACTGTCTCTGGAAATAAGACAGTCCCTAATGACGCACTGACCTTACTGGGTTATCCTGAGAGGCTAACTTTCTGTATCCTGGTTAAAAATCCCAACAAAACCTCATACTACTATTAAAGACTTATTTAATAACTCTACTGGACAAACACAGTATTGCCTGACATTGCTTCACTAGAGGTGCCTTAATACCGGCGAAGGGATTCTGATCTCAAGGCTTAAGAAATTCCTCCCTCTTCCTAAGTTCAAACTTAATTACCTCCCAATCACTTGGTGCTACATAAATGGGTTTAGCACTTTCCTATAATGTAGTATTCTAAGTTTATGACTGTGAGGGGAGAAAATCATATAAAAATTGTTCTTAAGTTTTCTTGCAGAGTTCAGATGTGTAACAGCTGTGAAAGAGAGACTGGCTGAACCAGAGTAACGCTTGATAGCACCATCTGTTAGTTATAATTGTAGTTATTTGTTGGCGTCTCTGGTACTGGTTACAGTGTCACATCCTGTTAGCATTAGCACTGTGTTAGGTAAAAGGACACAAGTGCAGCTGATGTGACAGTTTATTGTGGCAACGTTTCACTCACCAGAAGCTTTGACAAGCCGTTATGTAGCAGCTTGACAAAATTCCTGGAGAGCGAAATGTTGCCGCAATAAAATGTCACGTCACATTAGCCGCACTTGTGTCTTTTTACCTAACATACTGTGGGTAATTCCACCAACATTATACAACATTAGCGCTGCCTGGTATCCGTCTTGCATCAGGATGGCTGCTGCTCCCACAGCTGTTCTCATACATTAAGCTATTTTTTTGTGTTGAGTGTCTCTGTTCGTCGGTTTTTATTATTTGTTAATTATACCCATAAATTTTATTGTGTTGTATATTTTTGAAGGTTGTGAAAGCTAAGTGATTTACGCTGTCAAAGACTTTTTAGATTTTTGTCACTGAAGTGGCTAGTTTATTATGCATCCTGCGGAGGGTAACTCGGTCAAATTGCTTAGTAAACGTCACAACTGCTACTGTTACTACTAATTAAGGTGAACTAGTGATGAATTTGTTCTTTGATTCTGGGATTTTTGTTTTGAAGTTTTTATTTATGTACAAGTACACATAAATACAGTTACATAGATTATCATACATAGCAGCATTTGTGTAGATTACCTAGGATAACCCAAAAAAAAGTCCGAGTGACTTATTTTCATTGAGGTCCTTGACGGCTTAGTACTGGTCATTATTGTTAACAGTAATGAATATAAAAGCGTAGACGTTAGCCTTTTTTTCATTCACCTTCATTGACATAGGTTTGATCATGTAGTGACCTATTGCTTCTTCAACAGTTGCAGCTGTGTTCTGCTCTGCTACAGACACTTGTGTACAGCAGTTGCCGAACTCTGGGGAAAATACTCAGTGAAGTCTCTGGGGACTTAAGTAACTACAAGCCCATCAAGTCTTCCATATATCTTGCAACAGTAGATCAATGTACAGCCTTCACTCTCATGGTTGTGAGAACATCAACAATCACCATCCCAGAGACACCATCACATCGTGGTAAGAAAAATATTTTGTATTCTCGACAGTGTTGTCTTGATTGATGGACTGAACATATCGACTTAAGGCTGAGGGACGGATTACCTCAGACTCCCCCTGTTCTCCGCCATTCTCCTTTGTGGAAATAAATGGTATAAAATACCGACACAATGGAAATATGAACACATATGCAGTATAATGTGATCCTTTATTGACAACGTTTCACCCACACAGTGGGCTTTTTCAAGTCACACACAGATCTGAACATTAAAATGGTATAAAATACCGACAGATTGTTAGGTAAGACACATATGCAACAGTTAGGTATCTTTATTTCGAAACGTTTCGCCTACACAGTAGGCTTCTTCAGTCGAGTACATAAAAGTTGATAGAAGCAGAAGATACTTGAAGACGATGTAATCAGTCCATCACCCTTAAAGTTTTGAGGTGGTCAGTCCCTCAGTCTGGAGAAGAGCATTGTTCCGTTGTCTGAAACAATATGAAGTTGAAGTGACAGGATGGAGCCTTTATATAGTGCAAGGAGGTGAGACGGAGGTTGCTTTGGGAGGGCAGGTCCCTCTCAAACCCAGCCGTTCTCACTAGTAGAGGTCGAAGTTGATGGTGTGTACCAAGATACCCTTGTGTTGCAGTGTCTGACAGAATGAACATTAAAATGGTATAAAATACCGACAGATTGTTAGGTAAGACACATATGCAACAGTTAGGTATCTTTATTTCGAAACTTTTATGTACTCGACTGAAGAAGCCTACTGTGTAGGCGAAACGTTTCGAAATAAAGATACCTAACTGTTGCATATGTGTCTTACCTAACACACACAGATCTACCTGGGGTGGAAGGTACGGGAGTATTTATAGTCATGTTCAGAATGTTGAGGTCAGGTGGAGAATGTTGCATCTGATGATGTACCGGGTGGGGTTATAGAGTCTTGGGTAGCTTGGCAGGGGTATTGGACAAGTTGTGAGTAGACCTTCTGCAGTGTTCTATGTTCTTATGTGGGATAGCAATGAAGAAGTTTCTTGGCGAGTGGTTCAGCTATGTTATAGAAGCCACTGTTCTGGTTGAAATTGTTGGTTAAAGAGATAAGCGATGATTCCAGGATTCTTCTGTATTGAGTGCTGTCTTCTGTGGCGATAAGTCTTGAGTTTCTGTAGTTAATTAAATGGTTGTGTGAATTGCGATGTTGTACACAGGCATTCCTTGTATCGTCAGTCCTGCTTGCGTATTGGTGTTCTGAAATACGTGTTTGGAGGTCTCTTGATGTTTCGCCCACATATAATTTGTTGCAGTCATTACAAGGGATTATTTATACCCCTGCAGAGGATGGAGGCTTGTCCTCTCTACTACTGGTGATGTCCTTGATGGTCGTGGTTGTGGAGGTAGATACTTGGGAAAGATGTTGGAAACATGTTTGGCAATGGAGTTGGTGGGTAGGACTATGTATCTCTTCTCGACAGTGTCTTCTCTGGGTGTGTTGAAGATGTTTAATGCCCGCCGTCTGCAGTCTCTGATGAAGTGACGAGGATAGTGGAGTTTAGAAAATACTTGTTCAATTACAGTGCATTCTTCCTCAAGGAACTCATTGCTGCAGATTCTGAGTGCACGCAGGAAGAAGCCTATAATTACACCACGTTTGGTTTTGGTGTCGTGGTGAGAGTAGAAGTGGAGAAGATCGTTTTGGTTGGTGGGTTTTCGATAGACTTTAAAACGAAGTTCGTGGTCAGCTTTGCAGAGCAGAACATCGAGGAAAGGAAGAGTGTTGTCGACTTTGTTCTCAGTGACCTGGTTCATATCTTTGTTCTCAGTGACCTGGTTCATATCTTTGTTCTCAGTGACCTGGTTCATATCTTTGTTCTCAGTGACCTGGTTCATATCTTTGTTCTCAGTGACCTGGTTCATATCTTTGTTCTCAGTGACCTGGCTCATATCTTAGTTCTCAGTGACCTGGCTCATATCTTTGTTCTCAGTGACCTGGCTCATATCTTTGTTCTCAGTGACCTGGTTCATATCTTTGTTCTCAGTGACCTAGCTCATATCTTTGTTCTCAGTGACCTGGCTCATATCTTTGTTCTCAGTGACCTGGTTCATATCTTTGTTCTCAGTGACCTAGCTCATATCTTTGTTCTCAGTGACCTGGCTCATATCTTTGTTCTCAGTGACCTGGCTCATATCTTTGTTCTCAGTGACCTGGTTCATATCTTTGTTCTCAGTGACCTAGCTCATATCTTTGTTCTCAGTGACCTGGTTCATATCTTTGTTCTCAGTGACCTGGTTCATATCTTTGTTCTAAGTGACCTGGCTCATATCTTTGTTCTCAGTGACCTGGTTCATATCTTTGCGAAAATATACAAATGCGACTCTTTATTGACAACGTTTCGCCCACACAGTGGCCTTTATCAATTCACAAACAAATCTGTGGCTTGATAAAGGCCTCTGTGTGGGCGAAACGTTGTAAATAATCACATTATATTGCTTTTGTTTATTTTCCGTCATGTCGGTATTATATTGATCTCTCTCTTATCTTTTTTTTTGGGGGGGGGGGAATGTTTAATAAAATTTAATTATTCTTAAGACTTATTTTGGACTTGTAATAGACTTTTTTACAAATATTACTACTCTGGCCTGGACTGTATTGCAGTTGCATTATTTGACTTGTTTTAGGATATATTGAGGAATGAAGGGGAGGGGGGGGGGGTTGTGGAGAGTTATATTGAGACTCGGTCACACACCTAACATACTCGGATAAAATTTCTGTTCTTGTTGATTTTATTGTTTGATGTGACCACCCGGCACAAACACTTCTCATGTCAGGAAAATTTTGACCAGTGGCAATATTCTCTCTCTCTCTCTCTCTCTCTCTCTCTCTCTCTCTCTCTCTCTCTCTCTCTCTCTCTCTCTCTCTCTCTCTCTCTCTCTCTCTCTCTCTCTCTCTCGTTACATTAATCATGCAGTAGACTGGTAATACACCGTAATGTAATTGTGGTTCATTATTCATGTACAATTGTGTATTAAAATTCTCTTATACAGTACATTTGTACAGTACTCTTATACAGTACTGTATAATAAACAGTATTGCATTTCCATACTGACACACAATACTGACACACAATACTGACACACAATACTGACACACAATACTGACACACAATACTGACACACAATACTGACACACAATACTGACACACAATACTGACACACAATACTGACACACAATACTGACACACAATACTGACACACAATTACTGACACACAATACTGACACACAATACTGACACACAATACTGACACACAATACTGACACACAATACTGACACACAATACTGACACACAATACTGACGCACAATACTGACGCACAATACTGACACACAATACTGACACACAATACTGACACACAATACTGACACACAATACTGACACACAATACTGACACACAATACTGACACACAATACTGACACAATACTGACACACAATACTGACACACAATACTGACACACAATACTGACGCACAATACTGACACACAATACTGACACACAATACTGACGCACAATACTGACACACAATACTGACGCACAATACTGACACACAATACTGACACACAATACTGACACACAATACTGACGCACAATACTGACACACAATACTGACACACAATACTGACACACAATACTGACACAATACTGACGCACAATACTGACACAATACTGACACAATACTGACACACAATACTGACACAATACTGACGCACAATACTGACACACAATACTGACGCACAATACTGACACAAATACTGACACACAATACTAACACACAATACTGACGCACAATACTGACACACAATACTGACACACAATACTGACACAATACTGACACACAATACTAACACACAATACTGACGCACAATACTGACACACAATACTGACACAATACTGACACACAATACTGACACAATACTGACGCACAATACTGACACACAATACTGACGCACAATACTGACACACAATACTGATACACAATACTGACGCACAATACTGACACACAATACTGACACACAATACTGACACACAATACTGACGCACAATACTGACACACAATACTGACGCACAATACTGATACACAATACTGACACACAATACTGACACACAATACTGACACACAATACTGATACACAATACTGACACACAATACTGATACACAATACTGACGCACAATACTGACACACAATACTGATACACAATACTGACGCACAATACTGACACAATACTGACGCACAATACTGACACACAATACTGACGCAAAATTTACTGACACACAATACGACACACAATACGGGACACACAATACTGACGCACAATACTGACACACAATACTGACACACAATACTGACGCACAATACTGACACACATACTGACACACAAATACTGACACACAATACTGACGCACAATACTGACGCACAATACTGACACAATACTGACACACAATACTGACACACAATACTGACGCACAATACTGACACACAATACTGACACACAATACTGACACACAATACTGACGCACAATACTGACGCACAATACTGACACACAATACTGACGCACAATACAGACACACAATACTGACACAATACTGACGCACAATACTGACACACAATACTGACACACAATACTGACGCACAATACTGACGCACAATACTGACACACAATACTGACACACAATACTGACGCACAATACTGACGCACAATACTGACGCACAATACTGACGCACAATACTGACACACAATACTGACACACAATACTGACACACAATACTGACACACAATACTGACGCACAATACTGACACACAATACTGACATACAATACTGACACAATACTGACGCACAATACTGACACACAATACTGACGCACAATACTGGCACAATACTGACGCACAATACTGACACATACGA